GAGTAGTCACAATGCTGGACAGCTAAAAGCGCTTGATTATATTTGTAATGCATTGCATATTACACATTCATAATATAGAAAAAATAATATTAAAAGTAATAAGAAAACCATATCATATAAAAATATTATGTATAAACAAATAAATACATAATAAAAATATGGATTAATAACTATAATAATTTAAAAAAATATAAACAAAAAAATAACAATAATATAAAAGATATATAACAAAAGAATTAAAAAATATAAAAGATGAGGGAGAAATAGATACATACAAAAAAAAAAATATTTAAAAAAATAATAAATAAAATATGGATTAATAACTATATAATATATATATAAAACAAAAGAATGAAAAAATTAAAAAAAGATGAGAGAAAATGGACGTTCCATTTATTCTTCTCCTGTTAAATATTATAATGATGTTCAATGTGTAATGCAATTTTATTTTTATTGTAATTATAAATGTGTATCGTATTTTTCAATACGATATTATAGATTGTGTAAATGTATATTTCGTTCATGTTTTCGGTCGGCGGGTGTGTGTCTTTTCTTTGTGTTCTTCTGTTTCAGGATTGATTTCATTTTATTCTATGTCATGTCACTAATCGTTACGTTCCCTTCCAGGTACCTAGATCATAGCATTTCCTTATATCCTAAACTTTCCTTATTTTCCTCCCGGGTGTGCGGTCGCGCGTTTGCTCTCATTTGCTGTGAATGAGAGCAGCGGCTTCCACGTGGCCGCATGTCCAGGTGCAAAAGGTAAATCATCTTCTTTCGAAGATGGTAACCAGGTATCATTTCAAGCGCAACATATAGCCTCTGAATTGATGCAAGACCGTATACATTCACCTCCACGAGGTTCGCACCTGTTTTATACAGAAAATGTAGCGGATCGCATTTAGATTAATTGCTATTAGATATTCACAATACAATTTAACATTTACGTAAGAATGTTAAATTGTATTTGGAAATCTGGTTGCATAGCCTTATTCCAGATGAATGGTCTTCGCATCAGCTGTCTTCGATTCTAACCATTAGTTAACGTTAGAAAGTACGCGTTGGTAAAGCATGTTTTAAAGCGTCCAGTGTTAGAGAATAAGATACATGATGCGTCCCACGAACAACACCGTTTATGATACTAGATATCAGATGTTCATAGCCGTTCTTATGAGCACTTTGACGTGTGTTATAGCGTATTTGGTGTATAATTCACACTCCAAGCCTGTCCTTATCGGAAAAGGACTCGTCAGCGAGGATCTGCTGAGGAGAAGCAACGGTATCGATAAGCCAGAACTGTATTTATCCATCCTTGGCAATGTCTTCGATGTTACCAAAGGGGCTAAGCATTATGGACCTGGTCAAACCTACAACATGTTTATCGGTAATACTGCAACTTGCACACATGCATTGTTACATTTGAATTTATTTTGCTAATATTTTTCAATGATTTGCAGGCAGAGACAACTCGAAGGGTTTCCAGACTGGTAAAATGCATGCTGATGACGATGATAACATCAGCTTTGAGTTTGCTGATTTGAAAACACTCGCATATTGGATTCAATTCTACAAAGATCAGTACATCAGCAAAGGTAAATTTTGCTCTTAAAAAATATTCCAGTTAATTATTGTTTGTTGTTTTTTTTTTATAGGTAAATTGGTTGGTAAATACTACGATTACAATGGTAATCTTACCCCGTACGGAGAACAAGTGCATCTGCAACTCGAGAAAGTGAAGGAGACTGAGGCCAAAGAGGAAAATATCAAATTGATATTTCCACCTTGCAATATCGAATGGTCCCCGCATTCCTATACCAGAGTGTGGTGCACCAAGAATAGGTAACATTTGATTTGTGAATCACCTTTAAAAAATGCATTACTTAATCACGTTTCAGTGGCGGAGTGAAGAGAGATTGGGCTGGTTTCCCGAGGCGGCTGTTCGATACCGAAAAGCAAACCGAGCGATGCGCCTGCATCGGCGATAGCAACCAGGATCTAGGTATGTACGAGGAGTACATAGAATGCGAATCGGATTCACCCAGTTGCTACACGTTGATGCCAGTATAGACAACAACAAACCAAATCACAAAAGATTAAAAAAGAAAAGTATTCCGACTACTAAACTATGTGACTATTACAAGACTTTTACCTAGATGTATCTTAAAACCAACCACTAAAGTATTAACATACACTATTACTTAGTTTAAGTACTTACACTTATTTTATATTTGTGACTATATACAATTTTTATTATTTTTTTTTAAATACACTGCGACAATAAGAAATCACATTACATAACAAATTTGTGAATGATTAAATCCAATCAGTTAGATAATAGAAAACAACCTGACAACAAACTTTTACGCTAATTACAGCAATGTTTCATTGATTACCTTCTACAACCTTCTTTCCCAAGCAATAATAATGAATACAATTAACTTCTGTATAGTTTTTTAGAGTAACGAGAAACTTGCAATACGGATGATGGACTTCATTAGAAAGTGTACTACTTTGAAGATGGATTTATCCAAGTATTGCGTAACTAAATTTAGTGAAAACTGGTAATAAACATGTTTTATTCTCTTGGGACATGCAGCAATTAACCTTCGCGGAACAAGTTTTTACTTTTACAACTCGACGACAAAAGTATACTCACGTTTTGAGGTGAGTTAGCATTTTTGTTTTGCTTTAATTACGCGTATCTCTTGATCTAATCGAAACAATCATCTTCGTTTGCAGGTTATGTAGGTGAGTGGGTGCAAAGATTTCTAATAATTAAGGATATAATTGTTAGTTTCTGCTGCTCTTGTTTATCATTGTCGCTGGATTTGATAACGAGATGATGAAGCAATAAACGCGAGCACAAGCGGCGGCGGTGGGACAGCAGAACAGTTCAAAGGTGGCGTACGGACATTTACACATTACGTTTCGTGCGCGCAGACTTCAGTGTTTACCAACAGCTAATAACAGTGTGAAGATGAAGAAACAACTTCTGCCGAACTTTCCTCCGGGTCCATTGGATCGCTACAGGAATCTGGCGAGTTTCGATTGGCGCAAGCTGAAGCTCTTCATAGAACCGGCCGAAATCGTCGAGTTCAAAGTGAGTGCAATTAGGAGTCATTTACATACGATATTCATTTAGTGGTCATCTAAAGTGTACATTGTTCAGAGAGATATGAAAGGTCCAAAGTACGCGTTTCAAGCAATACAAGAAGTATTTATAATATATTGCAATTCATTGCCACATCAATTTCATCTTTATGCAATTACTAATATAATTTTTAAATAACGAATTACGTAGACGCGTAATTACTTTCGCACAGTAAAATTTAATTTGTTTTTGTTTGTTGAGCCAAACTGGAAGAGATGTTATTATATGAACGTTAACATTTATTTTGTTTTTCAGAATGAGATTGTCGAACTTTTGAAAGGAAATCCCGCCTTTCATCCGAAGAAGTTGGAAACTTTGGACGATGTGCGACGCGACGCTTCGCTACAGATGCACGAGGGATTCTACTTGCAGGAGTTCAAGTACTTGGGGATGCTGGATAACCTGAGGAAGGTGCCTGCATTCGGCGAGATTGCCGTGTGGTCGAATCCCTCGGTCAGCGTGAAGAACGCCCTCAACAATTCCATGTACCCGAGCGTGATCAGGGCGTTGGGCACGGAAAAGCATCTAGATCTGATCGAGAAAGTGTGGCAAGGGGAACACTTTGGTTGTTTCTGCTTGACGGAGATCGGGCACGGAACGGACACGAAAAGGATGAGGACGAGAGCGACGTACGACAAGGAGAGCAAAGGTTTCATCATGCACACTCCCGACTTTGAGGCCGCCAAATGCTGGGCCGGTCTTCTGGGTCAGACGGCCACCCATGCCATAGTCTACGCCCAACTCTACACGCCCGATGGTACATGCCATGGTTTGCATCAGTTCGTCGTGCAGATCAGGGATGTTAAAACGATGCAACCGTTGCCTGGAATCACCGTCGGCGATATGGGACCTAAAATCGGCCTGAACGGAATCGACAATGGGTAATTCCCAATTAGATTGCATCGCATCTTAACCTCGTAAATCATTTCCTTAGATTCTTAATCTTCAACAATTTCCACGTCTCGAGAGATGCTCTGTTGAATAAGAACGCTGATGTCAACGAAGAAGGCGTTTACGTTACACCGTTCAAAGACGCGAACAAGCGTTTCGGTGCTTCACTTGCGGCCCTCTCCGATGGAAGAATCAACATCACGAATCTCTGCAACGCTTATTTGATTCAAGGTCTTACCATAGCCGTGAGATACGCTGCCGTTCGTAAACAGTTCGGACCAGACGGCAATGAAATTCCCATTCTCGAGTATCAAACGCACGTAAGTAAATTGCAATTTTCGAATGTTTTCCCTCTAATATTAATATTTCAGCAACACCGTTTATTACCCTACTTGGCCGGAGCGTTCACGTTCAAATTCTTCTCGTTGCACGTCTGCTTAGAACAGCATACGACTTTTGTCAACAACTTGAACGGGAAGCAAAGGGAGGATGCTGTGGAATATGGTTTCGAGATGCACGGCATCTCCTCGGCCTGCAAACCGGTGATCAGCTGGTTCATGATGGAAGCTTTGAACGAGTTCAGACAAGCTTGTGCTGGACATGGTTATCTAAAAGGTATTTTGACAATATTTTTGCTACTGTTCGATCACTAAATAATCGCATTGCAGCTGCCGGTATTGGGGATCTGAGGAACGATGCTGATGCGAATTGCACTTACGAAGGGGAGAATCACGTGCTGAACCAGCAGACGAGCAATTGGTTATTGAAATTCTGGCCGCAAATCTTGGAAGGAAAGATCATCAAGGGACCTATGGAATCAATTGATTATCTTTCGCACGGTAAAGAAATTCTCGCTGATAAATTCGCTGTGGATTCTGTGGAGCACATCATCAGACCTGAGTGTGAGTGTACAAGCTTCTTCAAGTGATTCAAGCTTATTATTCAAAATTGATTAAATTTTCAGATATTTTGAGAATGTACAAATGGTTGGTTGTTTACTTGCTGAAGTCTTCGTACGAGAAATACGAGCGATCTCTGAAGGAAGGAAACGACGCTTTTTGGGCCAAGAACAACAATCAAGTCTACTACGCTAGGAGCCTATCAGTAGCTTATCTCAACGTAAGTTGTTGTTTTTTTGCTTTCGCCACATTGCAAATTGATTTAATAATCTGTTTTTTTTTGCAGCATTACATGTTGCACATTTTCTTGAAACGGATAAACGAAACAGAAGATCCTAAGGTTAGGAACGTGCTCGAAAGACTTTTCGCTTTGTACGGACTGTTCACGCTGGAGAGAAGTTTAGGTCATCTCTATCAAGGCGGATTCTTCGTCGGTGAAAAACCGGCGACTCTGGTGCAGGATGCCGTGCTGAAGCTGTGTGGGGATTTGAAGAACGACGCAGTGTCTTTGATCGATTGCATCGCAGCGGACGATTTCCTCATCAAATCTTTCATGGGAAAATCCGATGGAAAAGTATAGATTTCTTATAATAATCAATCAAGGTTTAACACTTTAATTGTTGCAGGTTTACGAGCATCTGCAGAACGAGTTGATGGGCGGAGAGGGAAACATGTCGAGGCCGAATTGGTGGAAGGAAGTCTTGCACTGGGGAAAACAATCAAAGTTGTAAATTGTTTGAATTGGTCTGGATTGGTAGGTATCTATAAATACTGTAAATTTTATTAAATTTTACTGTTTGTTAAGTGCCAACTAAATGTAATAGTTAGCTAGTTTGTAGTTAGATATAATACTCGACATCTAAACTTATTTCTTCTTCAAATATATTCTGTGGTTATCTTCGTACAACACTTTCAGCTTTATTTAAACTCCTCTAATCTTCCTCTAAATCCTCAACTATTTCAAATGTATCTCTACAAAATAGAAATTATTTAAATTAACAAAAACAATGCACAAAACAACTTATACAAATTGAGTATTTTGATTAGGTAATTAGAATGAAAAGTTAGTAATTATTATTCTTTCTTTATCAAATATTTTTGTTTACAGATTTAGATAAGGACTTGTTGACTTGATAATGATCGAACTTATATAATTCGATGTGCAATTTAAAGGTGATAACTGCAAACATTTCCACTGGTACGTTTTAATCTTCATATTTACGATCTCTGCTGTCGCCTGTTTGTGCGAGATAGTTGAGATGAGCAAACAACTCCTTCCTGATTTTCCTCCGAGTCCTTTGGACAGTTATAGGAATCTGGCGAGTTTCGATTGGCGCAAGCTGAAGCTCTTCATAGAACCGGCCGAAATCGTCGAATACAAAGTGAGTTCAATTAGGAGTCATTTAGATAGATATTCACTATATTTAGTGCGTCAAGTACAAGAAGTCTTGATTATCTTGAAGCAATTTTTTATAATAACGAATTGCAATTCATTTTGACATCAATTTCATAACATGGTGCAATTGAAAACGAAGGTTTTCGAAAGATAAATATATTTTTTGTTTTGTTTTCCAGAATGAGATTGTCGAACTTTTAAAAGGAAACCCCGCCTTCCATCCGAAGAAGTTGGAAACTTTGGACGATGTGCGACGAGACGCTTCGATAAAGATGCACGAGGGATTCTACTTGCAGGAGTTCAAGTACTTGGGGATGTTGGATAACGTGAGGAAGATGCATGCTTTCAACGAGATTATCGTGTTGTGGGATACCTCGTTCAGTGTGAAGAACTCGATCAACAATGCTATGTACCCGATCGTGATCAGGGCTTTGGGTACGAAAAAGCATATAGGGATGATCGTGAAGGTGCTGCAAGGAGAACACTTTGGTTGTTTCTGTTTGACGGAGATCGGGCACGGATCGGACACAAAAAGGATGAGGACGAGAGCGACGTACGACAAGGAGAGCAAAGGTTTCATCATGCACACTCCCGACTTTGAGGCCGCCAAATGCTGGGCCGGTCTTCTGGGACAGACGGCCACCCATGCTATAGTCTACGCCCAACTCTACACGCCTGATGGTACATGCCATGGTTTGCATCAGTTCGTCGTGCAGATCAGGGATATTGAAACGTTGCAACCGTTGCCTGGAATCACCGTCGGCGATATGGGACCTAAGATCGGCCTAAACGGAATCGACAATGGGTAATTTCCAATTAGATTGCATCGCATCTTATAATTTTAATATTTTCCTTTTAGGTTCTTATTGTTCAACAATGTCCACGTCTCGAAAGATGCTTTGCTGAACAAGAACGTAGATGTTACTGAAGAAGGCGTTTACGTTATATCCTTAAAAGACCCGAGCAAACGTTTCGGAGCGTCGCTTGCCGCCATCTCGGAAGGAAGGCTCAACATCACGAATCTCTGCAGCGCGTATTTGATTCAAGGCATCACCATAGCCGTGAGATACGCGGCTGTTCGCAAGCAGTTTGGACCTAACGATGACGAGGAAATTTCCATTTTTGAGTATCAAACGCACGTAAGTAAATTATTTTATCCATAATAAGTATCTTATGCTAATATTGCGCAGCAACATCGTTTATTACCTTACTTGGCCGGAGCGTTCACGTTCAAGTTCTTCTCCTCGCACATCTGCTTAGAACAGTATACGAATTATGTCAACACCATGAACGGGGAGCAGAGGAAGGATGCTGTGGATTACGGTTTCGAGATGCACGGCATCTCCTCGGCTTGCAAACCGGTGATCAGCTGGTTCTTGATGGAAGCTTTGAACGAGTTCAGACAAGCTTGTGCTGGACATGGTTATCTAAAAGGTATTTTGACAATATTTTTTTACTACTGTTCGAGCACTAAATAATCGCATTACAGCTGCTGGTATTGGGGAACTGAGGAACGATGCTGATGCGAATTGCACTTACGAAGGGGAGAATCACGTGCTGAACCAGCAGACGAGCAATTGGTTATTGAAATTCTGGCCGCAGATCTTGGAAGGAAAGATCATCAAGGGACCTATGGAATCAATTGATTACCTTTCGCGCGGCAAAGAAATTCTCGCAGATAAATTCGCTGTGGATTCTGTGGAGCACATCGTCAGACCTGAGTGTGAGTATACAAGCATCTTCAAGTGATTCAAGCTTTTTATTCAAACATTTTCAGATATATTGAGGATGTACAAATGGTTGGTTGTTTACTTGCTGAAGTCTTCGTACGAGAAATACGAGAGATCTCTGAAGGAAAGCAACGACGCTTTTTGGGCCAAGAACAACAATCAAGTCTACTACGCTAGAAGTCTATCAGTAGCTTACATCAACGTAAGTTGTTGTTTTCATCACATTATATACAAATTTATATAAATATCTACATCTTTTGCAGCATTACATGTTGCACGTTTTCTTGAAGAGAATAAACGAGGCAGAAGATCCCAAGGTTAGAAACGTGCTGGAAAGACTTTTCGCTTTATACGGACTATTCACTTTAGAGAGAAGTTTAGGTCATCTCTATAAAGGCGGATTCTTCGTTGGTGAAAAACCGGCGACTTTGATTCAGGACGCCGTGCTGAAGCTATGTGAGGATTTGAAGAACGACGCAGTGTCTTTGATCGATTGCATCGCACCGGACGATTTCCTCATCAATTCTTTCATGGGGAAATCCGATGGAAAAGTATAGATTTCCAATATTATAAGCAATCAAGGTTTAAGGCTTTAATTGTTGCAGGTTTACGAGCATCTGCAGAACGAGTTGATGGGCGGAGAGGGGAACATGTCAAAGCCGAATTGGTGGAAGGAAGTCTTGCACTCAAAATTATAACTTTATGCAGAAAGAGAGATATTGAAGGTATCTATTTAATACTTTGACTAATATGTAATATTATTTTTTTAGTTTCAACTTTTCAACATTCTGTTAAATCAATCTATTCAACATTCGTTGCAGTTATTTCCTATTGTTCTCCCAATAACATTTCGCGAACTGTAGACTTAATTAATTGATTAATCTCTTGAAATTATCTAAATTTATTGTTATACTAATTCGAGTACAAATTTAATATTTCTAATATAAAATATATATGTTATTCATTTGAATGTAAGAAAGTGGGAAAGAGATTAAGATTGGTCCTTGTTGATATATCTGTTCAGGAGTTTATCGCCGTCCTCGTCGAAGGCGGACAACTTCCTGAAGTTCTCGTCGTCGACGAAGCAAATTTCGTGACCATCCGGATCCGCAAGTATTATAACACGAACCGTTGCCTTTCCTGGCGTGTCCAACGATATCAGAGGTGTGAGAATCGTTGCGTTCGCCTCCTTCACTTTCGCATCGATCACGTCTTGCTCCTCGAGTGGAACGGAGAACGCGATACGTCCGTAAGCTTTGGCCCTGTTGATCGGATCACCTAAGAAAACAATAGGTAAAACAATTGATCCTATCCTCTCCTGTCACTCACTTATCTCCTGCAATTCCAATTTCGCTTCAGCTTCCTTGAAGCCCAAAACTGCTGATCTCTCAGATTGCTCGAAGACTTTCAACCCAAGCAGGTTGTTCCAGTAATCAAGAGACCTCTGCAAGTTACTCGAGGCCAAGATAACCTTCTCCACTGGATCTGATCGGTGAAATATACATATATAATTACTATATCATCATTCATTTTTTTTTTTCTTAATTAAAACCTTTATCTGTAGGTTGAAGTTCATCGATGATGAAGAACTTGTAACCGCCTGGCGCTTCCAGAACGTTTCCCGGCAAGATGGGCCAATTCAATTGTTTGGCTCTGACCAGAGCCTCCCTGCTTCTGACCGCTATCCCAATGAAATCGTTGCCCGTCTCGTACGATTTGATCGGATAATTGTATGTGAGTTCGACGACAAAATGATTGTCTTCCGGACCGTAACCGATCATCGTTTTACTCCAACGATTCGCATAAGGCCTTCATGGAAATGTAAATTATTATTGTTAATAATGAATCTGATGATGATGAATCTGATGCTTCTCCTCTCTCTCACCCGTTGCAGGCGGCTTCGCAACCATCGGCGAACTCTTCGTGCCTGAGCACCTTCATCCCCAAAACCTCCCTGTAGAATTGAGCCGTGAGTTTCCTGTCCCCGATTTTGAACACGTAATGCAAAGCTCTCCCGTTTAAAAGGGCCATTATTGCGGTATGTTTACTTTGTCTGTTTACACAACACCTACTGCTGTAATTACCACCAATTAACACTTGTCACGCGAAAATGATTATTGGCTTTATGTTGCCTAAGTTGATTTTCCACGTAAGTCTGGAAGTATACGTTGACAAATGCAATCTTATGAGATGTGTCAAAGTTGAGCAGTAAACCGGTATTTTCCAAATACAATTTAGAAAATACCGTTTTCTTTGATATTAAGGTTTTTGAAGAAAAAAATCGTTTACTGCTTGTGATACAATTCCAATGGGAAATGGGAATAGATACGAGTGTAAGAGTGTGAGAGCGAGAAGGGATGAAGAAATTTCCATAGTTATTGTAACGTAATTGCAATCAGTCAGAAACGTTGATGAATTGTGTGTTCTCTCCCTCTGTATTGTGTCACACACCATGTGCGTGCGTGCGTGTGTGTTTGATCGAATCGATCAAAGCTATTAATTTTAAATGGGATGAGTTCGTTATGATCTACATATATCATTCATCATCGACCCAAAATACACAGCAGCAGCAACAACAACAACAGTACAAGCAAAATTGTCGTTCAAAATTAGCATTTAGACAGGAAACCATAGAGAAATATACACACACGTAGATGCTTCCTCCTTCATCACTAATTGCAAAGTAAACATTTAACTTTAACAATGATTAGCTAATTGAAATCCAACATTTGCATTTGATAATTTCTTCCGAATGAAGATGATTACAACTTTTGATGTTACGCCATCTATCGTCCTATAATAATCGTGAAATTTTCATTATTCATGTGTTTCGCTCATTTTTTTTGTTTTGTTTGTTTGTCTCGCGTTTCGTTACGTTTCCATGGCAAAATATATTAATTAGGGAGCGCGAGACGCATTATTCATCATCCCGAGATTTACTTTACCTAATGGATTTCGCTACGCACTTGAAATTTATTTATTTATTTATATTAGTTTTTTACTTTCTCTTAAATACAAGCTTGATCCTAACGCGGCTTTTGTCTCGGATCCTGGCTCTCTCAGTTTTAAACTAATAATAAATTACTAACTTACTCTCATCTGAGAGCTTAATGCCAATTAGTCACTGAGCCAAGTGAAAACGTAATGGAAAATCTAAACGCCGAAATGTAGAATGTTTTCAAAGTCTCAATTTTTAATTGCAAAAAAAAGATGGCGGAAAACAAAATGTCCGATCGAATATTAGTTGTAGACGCGTTCCGATCGATGGCGCTGCACTTTTTTTTCTTTCCTTCGAATCTTAAATGAGAATGTGAAAAAAGACGGTAATTTAAATTCCTCATCGATTCGAGGACGGAACGTGCTTTTGTCGCGTAAATTGAACGGATGTTAAATTGGTGAAGAAAGATTGTGAGACAAATCCAGGAAATGCAATTTTTGAAATGTCCCTCGGAACTGAAACATAAACACAATTCGCTGTTTACATTAAAGGAAATATTAATTAACTGTTCCGAAGGTTTGGGGATGGAGAGGTTAAACTCGGTTTCCGGTGGAGAGAACACCTGAGGGCGTTCAATTCTCTCTCTCTCTCTCTCTCTCTCCACTCACCCTCTGCTGCGTTGCGTTCGAAATTCATTAACATCGAATTAGCTTCAGCCTCAGCCTCCAACGTCTGTACGACGGCTTCACTGTTTTATTCCACCTTTTGTCATCGAGTTTCCAACTTCTCTGCATGTGCATATCTGCATCTGCAATTACACGACCTTTCACGTCCCGAATTAATCAGCACTTTGAATTAAATTTCATTTGTTTCATTTCTATTGCAGCACGATAATCTTTTGTTTGGCCTCGAACGCAATGATTCATAGTTTTAATTATCCGTGAATTGCGTAAGGTAATATTCTTTAAGATTTCGTCAATTTCGAAAACCGCCCACTGCCGCCAATACAAAAACAAAAAACAAACTAAAACTAAGGTGAAGCTATTATTAAATGTTGCGCAACTATTTGTTGTTGTTTTTTTTTTAATTCCATAATTTGAATTGCAAATTGCGGTGATAATAATTGAAACACAACAGTATTAATGTGAGATAAAAAAGGAAACGTATTTATATTTTAAATGTACGTAGCAAATAGTTGTGATGCAGTAGTGTTAGCAATAACCGCGGCTACTCTCTCGTTCGCTTGTGGAAATTTGTTTAGTCGAATGTGTTTTGATTTTTATTAATTTTTCGTTTCGCGCATTGAGTGTTGAGGTCAGGAGGCGGCGGCGATAAACGTGATAAAAAGACCGTTCAGTGCGGGTCCAGACGTCCGCTTGTTGATTGATGATCGACTCACACAAAAAGCATCCACTTACTCTGTGTCTTACTCATTCACCAAAATTATTATTATTATTATCGTTGCAATTCAGAGTTTAGAAAGCGTCGGGTTTTTTTTTATTAGTGCGCTCGTGCGGTTTTGTGATTTAATTTGGTGCAGTTTTTTTTGTTGGTATTAACAAAGGATTAATTAATTAACATTGATTGTAAGTAAATTGAAAATTATTTTCCAAACGAAATGTCAA